CATGGTTGTGTTCATTTCTGTTGCCCTGGTGATCTCAGATTTGCTTTGATTTCAAATCATGTATCATTAATTACGTATGTTGAGTCGTCTTTCCAAAGAGTTCATTGAAAAGCAAAAAACAGCATCATCAAATAACTGAGGGCTTATTAACTGCTTCCAGCTTGAAACCAGCACACCTTGCAAGTCACAGTGGCCTGGCCAGGGGCCAGATGCCTTTGTGGCATTGTCTGAGTAGTTTCCCAGGTTGTTGCTGGTTGCTTTTCTGTCTTTAAATAAAAACAGTAAACTTCGTTGGAGACAGAGATAATCTTTGAAGCTAAGGTATACCAAAGATCCTGTTTAAATATATCAGTTTGTATAAACAAAGAAAAGCAACCAGAAACTACTTAAGACTTTCTGGTAAACACACTAAAATCCTGGTTTCTAGGCTGGGCTTTTCCAATAGCTTTGTGGCTTGTCAATTCCCCTTCCTGAGCTTTATTTTCCTTATGTTTTAAGACAAAAGGGTTGCATTAAGCTATCGCTAAAGAAATTCTGTTTGCAATGACTTGGAAGAGTGTAGTGTCTGTGATACTACTAAATATTTGGGTAGGTATTTTATGTAGCCAATATCATCTTTATTGATTAAAGTACAGGGTAAAATAAGAAGTTGAGTTTCTAAACATAGAAAGAATAGGTTATTGTTAACTTCTTTAATTAAAAATGCATTTAGACATATATTACATTGGAATTAGTTTTGCTGAAGCCGAAGCTCCATTATCTTGGTCATCTGATGCAAATAGTCAACTCATTGGAAGAGTCCCTGCTGCTGGGAACAATTGAGGGCAGAAGGAGAAGAGGGTGTCAGAGGATGAGATGGCTGGATGGCATCACTGATGCAATGAACATGAACTTGGGCAAACTTCGGGAGATGGTGAGGGACAGGGAGGCCTGGCGTGTTGCAGGCCATGGGGTTGCAAAGAGTCAGACATGACAGAGTGACTGAACAACCACGACAAATGTTTTCATTTTATCTCAGATGGTTTGCTACAGATTGATGCATTATGTCCAGTTTGAAATGGGGACCCTTTATTTCTGTGAACATGAGTAACGTAGACCAGGTCACTGGCTTTAGACAGAAACTCTTTTCCCTTCCTATGACTGCCCCCATTCGTGTCCATGGCCTTGATCCTGAGAATCACTGAGAAGCCTGGAAGGAGAGTGAGGGCGGTTTACTGCCAATCCAGTACTGTTTCTGGGAAACCAATCCTGGATGTCGGCTTGCCCACCTAATGGTTTGTCAATAAACACCTGGTAGAATGGGAACAAGGTCTTCCATAAATTGTCACCAGTAGAGTCACTTATTGTCACCCTTGTGTCTGAGTGTGCCACCTGTCAGTGTCTGCATGCTGTGGGTGTGTGAATTTGCATGTGTGCACTTCTCCTCCAACTCTCTACCACTCACTCCTGTGGGACTTTGGAATTCTGAGTAGTTGGCCTGTGTGATCAAGGTCAAGGGCACTGGCTATGTGGGTGCCATTTCCCAGCAGAGGCCTACTCCTTGGCTGCTACTGTCATGGGGCTCATGGCCTTTCTCAAAACATGGGCCCCGCAGTTCAGAAATCAACCATGAGCTCCTTTTACCATCTTACCTGTCTGAAAGAGTCAAATTGAAGCTCTGAAACTGGAAGAGGTTTGGTGTAAATCTATTGTCTGCCTAATCACTGGAGTCTTTTGTGCAACCTTCAAGATGGGATAAACATTATTGAGAAGAAAAGCAGGAGTGACTGAATAAATGTGGACAAAGAGTTTCAATGAACAAAGGCAAGAGTGGTTTTCAGAGGCTGGAATGGTGTGCAAGAAGGAATGCACTAGAAGTGGGGGAATAGCAGAAATCCTAGGATTAAGTCAGGGGAAGGTAAATTCCATTCTTTTTTCCTGTTTTCATGAGCTGACTTCTTTGCAAGTCTCCTCTCCTTTTTCTAGAGTTTGTGCCCTTTGGACACATTGTCTCCTCATCCTTTTTTTAAGGTAGTAGAATTAAGGTACCCACCTGCCTTAGTGCTGGGGTCTTGTGGGAAGTTCCCTGTCACTCCTGTTGTTGTCAATTGCACATACAGTCACTGTTCTACCTGAAGGAGCCCTAGGAATAAATTAATAAAATAGTTTTAATCTTTCATCAAAATGAATTTACATTCAAAGATTTTATAGACTGAAGTGAGGTGTTGCCTGTAGATTGCCACTTCTGGTTAAAAAGTCCAAAATATTTTTAGGTCTTGTGTCAAAATGACACCAAGTTGTGCTGATGGATTTAATATTTTTTTCTGTTTTTCCTGGATTGATTTATGTTTGGGGCATTTGAGTAGAGACAGCCTGGACGCAAAGCTAAGCCATTAACTCCCAGATGTTCACAGTTTCCAAGGAAATGTTCTTTGCCTGCGGTCATTACTCAGATGGCTCCTTAAATGCTCTCATCTTGGCATCTTTTGCACTTGCTAAATTCAATTTGAAGAAAGAATAGGAGAGAGTGAATTTTGTGGAAAGCAATTATGTTGCACTTTTGTGACTGTCCTGCTTTCCCCATGATGATGAATTTGAGGTCTGGTTCTTATATCAGTCAGTGGGGCTCTTTTACTAGAATTTTGTTGTATGTTACAGATACTAGTTGTATCTAATTAAACAATAATGATGGAAGTACAAGGCTTTTTGTGGAAATTAATGACCAGCTGGGTAAAGCTGATGGCTGGAGAGTCAGCCAAAGGCTATTGTGCCATTAATCTCCAGAGATGCCCATTTGTGATGTCATTTTTGGTATCGAAAAATGAAAATGGAAAACAATTTACTGGTGTTTATCATGTACTTCTGAATAATAAGCTCTCTATGTATTATCCAAAAGTTGTTCTTTTCTTTTTAATCCTCCAATTCTCCTCTGATCTTAAAATGTGTCTCTTATATACAGTACATGAAAATGGGATTTCTCATACAGAATAGACTTTTGGACTCTGTGGGAGAAGGTGAGGGTGGGATGTTTTGAGAGAACAGCATCGAAACATGTATATTATCAAGGGTGAAACAGATCACCAGTCCAGGTTGGATGCATGAGACAAGTGCTCGGGGCTGGTGCACTGGGAAGACCCAGAGGGATGGGATGGGGAGGGAGGTGGGAGGGGGAATCGGGATGGGGAATACATGTAAATCCATGGCTGATTCCTGTCAATGTATGGCAAAAACCACTACAATATTGTAAAGTAATTAGCCTCCAACTAATAAAAATAAATGGAAAAAATAAAATAAATTAAATTAAAAAAAAAGAAAATGGGATTTCTCAGCTTCTGTATAATCATGGGTATGTTTTTTGTTGTTGCTGTTGTTTTTGAGTTTCTAAGTTTGGGAGGTTTTCCTTAAATATTTTGTATGGTCAAACTAGAACCTACCTTCATCTGTGATACTAGAATTTGATACATGTATATATTATCATAACTATCTGCTCATGGCAGGAAACGCAGGAAATGGTTGCCAATGGTCTGGATAGCAGCTGTTGCTACCAAAGATGTGCATTCAGCAACCAGATTTTAAGAAGTTGCAGTCACATTCCTAGTAGATGAAGGGAACTCTCTTTCAGAAAAGGCTGTGGTGGTTTGTCTATATAATATTTTTTATTACTACTGCTGAGCACTAGAGGAAAATAGAGAAGTGACTAAAATATTCATCACCTTCTTGCATAATTTAATGACTTATAAAGGAAGGCAACAATTCCACACACAGCCAATCTATCAAGAACTTGTTCTCAACTCATAATACTAATTTCCAGGTTATGTTGGTTTTCATGCCATTTTCATTCCAATGTGAAAGAAAGTTCTTAAAAGTCTGTTAAAATCCTAGCCAGTGAGCTGAGAATGTTGTGCCAAATGTGGAAGCATGAGATCCCATCCAATCTCAGCCATAAGCTGGTGATATTTTACAAGCATTGTTCTCCTCATAGGAAGTTGGCAGCTGGTACCCAGTCTTTCTCAAGGCATGTTAAGAGTATGCATTTGAGGGAGTAGGATGAGTCAGTCCATTGTTAATCATAACTTTAGGGGTACTGACTCACTCGTGGTAAAATGGGATGGCCTCACTGGGAAGGTGTGAAAGAAAAAAAATCCATTCTGAGGTCAGTGCCCTGTTTCTGCAGACCCAGATCAAATTTGCACTCTTTGGTGGGTAGTTAGCAGGAAAAACAATGTTGCAATGGACCAGGTGAAAGCAGGCACCTTGTTTGAGCAGGGAACAAACACTAGAAATTCACAGTATTTCTTAGGAAAATGCACAAAGGGCCTAGAAATCTGAGAGGGGGCCTCTTATCTGAGGCCAAAAGTGAATGAGGCCCTGCAGTGCCTCGTTCAAGGTAGGTCTTTGATCCACTTTTGATTATTAGACTCTTTACTGGAATATGGTCACTTCATTAGGGGATTTTGAATATGTGAAGGTTACTTGTCACGGCCCCAGTTCTCTTTGGGACACACAAAGTGAATTCTTTTGTCCAACTCTGTACATAGTGCATGAAACCCAGGCCCTCACCAGGAGCAGACCCAGGAAGAAAATGTAAATAAATACACTGAAAATTTTGTGGAAATTAGCCATTTTCGCCTGTAAATATTTATATTGTACCTCAAGTTGAAACATGTCGCTTTCCACAGTGTTTATTTAGATACAATATGGTTATTGGTAATAACATGTTTTATTGTTCATCTGGGACAATCTAACCCTTAAATGCTCAGTATATTGTGATGGCCAAAAAGTTCGTCTGGGTTTTTCTCACCTTTGGCTGGAAAAAATCGAGCGAACTTTTTGGCCAATTCAGTACTAGCTATCAAGGTATGTATAGCCGAGTAAACTATTCATATTAGCAGACTAAGCCCCTCAAAAGAAAACCCCCAAGCAATGCAATGCTTTTCTTGGAAACTTTTCTTGGGACTGTTGTTTCTATAGTCTCCCCCGGGAGTAGAGTTGATGTAAGACGTTTCCCTGCTTTCCTGAAGCTCTAACTTGAGTTCATTTTGTTATGTGGTGACCACAGTTCTGGATGACGCCCCCCCTGGCACACAGGAATACATTATGTTACGGCAAGATTCCATCCAATCTGCGGAATTAAAGAAAAAAGAGTCCCCCTTTCGTGCTAAGTGTCACGAAATCTTCTGCTGCCCGCTGAAGCAAGTCCATCACAAAGAACACACAGAGCCCGAAGGTTTGTGCACAACGGACGCGTGTCTTGCTTGTTTCCCCTCATTCTTCTTTCTTTCTCTTTCTTTCTGACTGTGCATTGCCCTCTGGTGTGCTGTGTGTTGTGCGGCTCCTGACATCGTTCCGAGGCCCCGTAAGCTCGCCAGTGAATGTCTTATGCAGCCTCAGATGGGACGCTGTATAATACAGTCAGCTCTGGCCCGGCGCGCAGCATATTCCTGCTTCTCGCAGCTGAAACGTGTTCAGCTGGTGTCATGACACTGCCCCGTTTTGGCTGCTAAAGTTGCTTGCTCCCATAGCCGAGTCTGGCCCATCACCTGAGGAATGGCCCTTCCAAAATGAAATCATGAGACGATGGTTCCAAATTTTCTCCCTCTTCTCCACTCCATAAAGCCTTCTGCCTTGTGTTCAAAATATGCTCATGGTCTACTCAGTTGGCTGAAGCAGGCCCAGATTCCCCTGTCATGCACGCCTGGTGCGCTTTGCCATAGTGAAATGCATGCCTCAAGGAAACCATGAGTAGTTTGTTTTTCTTTGCAGCTCAAGTACAGGTTTGGAAAACTCTACTTGCTGGTACTTAAACTGAGGTCAATAAGGTATTCATCGCAATCCATACTACAAATGTATCTCAAAAGTTCCTGGTCTCTCCAGAACGTGTATGCATTCATTTTTTTCCCAACTTTTTGGCACGTATCAAATAGGATCAGTTTTCACATCACCAAATGTGGTAAACTTTTTGCCATCTGTGTATGTTTTGATTTCCAAAATGACAGTGGAGAGGTATACTGTGTATGCTAATTAAGTACTTATTGTATAACAACTTGAGTTCCCCCCCAGACCAAATGCCATCCATGCATTTTAGCAATGAATGATGTCAGAGATGACAGAATTCAACCAGTCCTTTGTCAGTGGGTATACACTTTTGCGTAACTGTTTCTGGTATGATTTCTAAAAGTGCCCTTGTTCCTATTTCAAGTTGCCCTTTTGGCAACATTATGGGATCTCCACTACGACTGTCTTTCTGCTGCACAGGTCTGTTCAAAGTTTGGTGTTTGAGGAAATTATTCCCAATTGACTCCAATCTATAGTTTTGTAAGCAGATTTTAACATCTCAAAGTCTCCCCCTTTTCCGCCCTTCCATGTAGAGCTTCAAATGTTCTTTGGCAGAAAATGACAAGTGTACATTTTCTATGCTTAACTCTATTTGAGCTATAGAACACAGCATTTGTATTTGTTTTCTACTTCATACTTTGGTATGCAAGCTGTTCTGATGTGAACAGTTATTCATCTGGAGATATAAACGGTGGCCCTTTACAGTGAGTAAGACAAAATTTTGGTGGTTTTGTTGAGAAGATACTAACTTGATTTTATGCTTCACTGAAACAAAAAAATTCAGCCAGTGATAGTTACTTTACTATAGATGATGCATTCCAATATTTTCTTTCTTTTCTCTCAAATGATGTTTGTGTGCAGTATATATATTTGCATGTAGAAAACAGTACCTGAATTATAAAAATATACTAGTTCTTATATAATTATATTCTTACAGATGTGTGTCTGTATTAACAGATACTATACTTTTTTTTTTCTACTTGTACATTGTCCTGAAACACAAAGGTTGGTTTGAGTAAGTATAATAAGCCATTTAAGAAGCAGTTGGTTAAATTCAGTCAGGAATTTGGTTAGAAACTTACTTCAAATTGTTTTAACAATTCTCAGATTCAAAAAAAGACAGTTGAATAACTAAATTTAAGACCCATCCATTCTCTTATTACATATAGTTTAGACGGGATCTATTGGTTTTCAAAATATCTGGAGTGTATCATGAATACTGTTATGAATGTTTTCAAATATGAAGAATTCTTTAGAGAATGGGTAGCAGTTAAGCTCTCTTATACAAGGTTTGGATACTTTTTATTCTGGCTGTCCCTGTGTTAAATGTGGCTTTCATCCTTTCTCTTGTGTGTTTTGATGATGGGCATTGTCTTCTTTCAGATTGAAGATTTTCCTTAGTCTTGCCGTCCTGCCAGGTCCTCTGGAATAGTGAAGCTAATACTTCCCTCTTGATTTGTAAGAATTATTTATAAATAGTATTAGACACATGAGAGGTTTTCTGTGATGACATTGTGATATTATTTACAATTTTACTTCATCACCTTTAAACAAGGACCCCGAAGCTAATGGTGATCCCAAATATTGCAATGAATATGCTTGATCTCTGTGCAAATTAACAGGATCCTGAAGACCTTAGATGGGGGTGAAAGAAAACATGCCACGGAAGAGACCTTGGATAAATAAGGAAACAATGTTATGAAATTAACATGCTTACTTCATGTAGGATCTCGAAGGCCAGAAACTCGTCATTGGCAGGAGGTGAAGTAACTATGGGTTTAGAAGGGTTCAGTGGTCATTCTGGCCACCTGGAAGATTTTTGCAAGACTGATTTTTAAATGCTGTAAGGTCCTGTCTTCAGTTATCTCTTCCAGTTGCTATAACATTTTATTATAATGAGTATAAATAAGAGATCTCTTTATTAAAAATGGATAGAATCTCGGTTCTAAACTATGTCCATACCTTGAAACATTTTATTCTCATGTGAGGCATTTTGAAGAGAGAGGTCCTCTCATGGCCTCTCTTCCAAAGCATGAAACATTAATTGACCTTGCCTGTGGATGCCCACCATTTCCACTGCAGGTGAAGGCAGTGGGCAGCATGGTTAGGCTGATTGATCTGTGCAATGCCAAGCTGCCGGTGTGACCTCTTGTAATGAGATTGTGTGTGTGTGTAGCCCTCAAGTAAAGAATGAAACATTCATTGAAATTTGGCCAGCGTGGTGGTGGGGGGGTGGTGGTGGTGGTAGAATATAAATTAGAGTTGGAAAATTCTTACAAATGATTAAATTAGGTCAAAGAGGTTTATGTGTATTATGATAAAGCTGGAATTAGTTTTCTGCTTCTTTACTGAATTGATAAAATCTGCCAACTATTTTTGCATTATTATAGACAAAGTCTTGGTGTTTCTTTTGGTTGGTGATGTTTTTGTAAAGGCCAAGTTATTGCCATAATTTATAATCACCTGAGATTTGGTACAGATAGCAATTGTTCACCACTGTCTGTCTTTTGAAAGACATTTTTTTGCATTGTTTCCAGGGCCTTCAGAATTCATGTAAAGTAATACACAGAAGGTCTGAAATACCTCACTGGCTTTTCAGGATATCCTTAGGACAGATTACACTTTGCCAGAAACAGGTTTCTATTTCTGAACAGCCGATTCCAAAATAAATGCTTTAGTCTGTTTCCAAATACTTGTGATTTTCAGTGATGTGATTATTTCCATAAAAACCATTTATGATGTAATATTATGTGAGTACTGGAATTTGGCTGAAGAAGCACACACAAGTGTTTGAGAGTCTAATTTTGGCCCAGGACCAGCTATGGTCTTTGTTATAAGAAAGCCACTTGGAGAGCTGAGATGTTTACCAAAATCTTTTTCTTACTGTCCCAGGAGCCTTTTGGCAAGAGGAAGTATAATCATTACAGCTTTATTCTTTCCCTCATTTTTTCTTTCATTGTCATGTCTGCCCCAATAAAATCACTGATTTAGAATAACTTCTGAATGCCTATCTTTTAACAGTATAGTTTTTGCTTCCTAAATTCGAGTCACTGGTCTGTTACTGATGTTTGAAGGTTGTTCAGAAGAATCACATCAAGGTATACAGGCTTCCAAGTAGATAATGTTGAAAATCTGCAGAGAGAAATAAATCACAGATTACCTGCATGTGCTTGTGGGATTGAAAATCTGATTTCAATAGAAAATTTGAAGGAATTCACGCAACATAGAAGAATATCACAAAGTTCAATGATTTGTCACCATCTTAATCAAAGGTCTGGCCTCCTTCCTGTTTTCATGTGAATTTTTTTAAAAAGTTATAGAAATATATATATTCCATCCCCTTTAGGACATCTGTAACCTTTTTATTCAGAGAGGCATCCAAGCATAGTGACTTTGGTTGGAGGAGAAGAGAGTCTGTGCTCTAGACCGGTGATGAAGTATGGCAGCTTTCACCAACCAAAAGAAAGCAAAATTATGTGCCAAATGTTAAGGGGGCATATTTGTAACAAGTACAATGTCTGTTACTCTGATAATGCCTTGGTTTCCTTATCCCAGAGAGAGAATATGTCACCATGAATATCAGTCTTGCCTAAATGGTAGGAGAGAAAGGAGAATATTTAGGAATGTGTCAAGAGAATTGTTTTTATTTTCATCCTCATCTTTTCTTCAACTCTGATGTCTCATGTTGTGCGTCTTGCTCATATTCCTCTAATTTGCCTTTTGAGAAGAATGGGTCTAACACTATTTGAATTCATAGTTCAATAAAACTAAATCACCTCTGATGCTTAATATTGGAAAATGTCTTGACTTGCAGAAATGGTATAATTGGGTTCAATATCTGTCCCCTTGAATGTAAGAATTAAGGCTCTTCCTATTTGATTAGAAAAACATGGGGCCATATGTTTGTGTGACTCTGAAGCAATAAAAGATTTTACTCCGAAACTTTAAATTTCAAAATAACTGATTTGGGGTCACTTTTCCTCTGATTTATGATGTGAAGGATAATGAAACAACTCAGAAAGGTGTTTTTGCTCACTGAAGCCAATGGCAGCTTAATTGCAGAGTCACAAGAAAAGTTAAAATATTGGTCCATATCAAAATCAAATTAAAAGCCCCAAATTCGAAAGCCTTGTTGTTTAGTGATGAATAAACACTATCCTCTCCCCATATACTGATCAAGTGTATTTCTCTTGGTTGCTTGTCAGCTACTTCTTAGAAGACAACTTGTTATCTCCTAACAAGATTGGGAAGCTAGTAATGGCACTGAAACACAGTCTCTCTTCTCTCCTATTTCCCCACCTTATGGCAGCAAGCACAGCATTAAGTCATGTTTGGGGAATAGTTTCTACCCTCTGGAAAACTCATAATTTGATCAAGGAAGTATACATAACA